CGAAAGCTAAAGGCGAAATGCGTTCATTTTATGAATGTGAGTGAAGCAATCTTATTCACATCTCTCCAAAAAATGCCACTGTATCAGAAGTCTCCATCGATCTCGATAGAGATTGTGATTTTGCGAACGCAACAACAAGAACTATCTCTTCGTCCATATAAGGTCATTAATTCAAGGGTCTGAGTCATAATTCAGAGTGAGAATTTGCGTGCAGAATGTATTGATTCAGGTCAAAACTCTCCATCTTTGACAATGTTAACGAGGCCGGAGAATGCAAATCAAATGGATACTGCAATGGTGAGTGAGGTTTAAGTTCATCTCGAGGAATTGAACCTGTAAATATGATCGTATAGTTCAAATTCTCCACGTTTCCTCGCAATTAACAACCAAAAAGGAAGTGTTGTATATTTCCAATCTGTGTGTACACTTCAGAATGCGAATTTGTCGAAATCTGCGGTCGAGAAGGAAATGAAACGACAGAAACGAGCGAATGAGAAGATGAAAAAACTGGTTGGATATTTCAGTGTAGATCCAGTCTACTGATTGCTGTTACAAAGTGATAACGACATATATTGCAATGAAATCAGGAAATGCATCNATCTCACTGGCACCGTAGATCCCACACTGATGAAATCGTTCTTTCAGAACACTTCAACTGGTCGTAACAGATATCGGGTATGATGTTAAGTGCCGTAACTTCTAGTGATATCAAACAAAACTTAAAGTCACTGAGATCTGAATGCGCGTAACATCTTTATTACCGTTCACAGCATTCCTGAAGATCCGGTCAATTGATTGTCGGGTCCTTCAAATGGTCCAATCCTTTAATTTCGTCAGAATTTTATGTTCATTGATACTCAAGATCAAAATATTTGAGTACGAGAATTTTAGGATTGCAAACACAACTATGAACTTATAAGAACAAAAAATATTAACTTATAAGAAAGCTCAGTAGAAAATTTTGAGAAATATAAAAATGGCTATTTCCAAACAAACTAAGGTAATGATGATCAAAATTGATTGCTAAGAATTGTTCAAGGATATCGGTTGTCTTGAATCAACGCGTGTAGTGTTGGATAAGACCGCAGCGAGTGGCAATGATTATATCCATGCGAATTTCATTTCGACACCATTCAAACAAAAACGTTTCATTTGTACACAGGTTCAATGCTAGTGAATTCAGTTGTAACAAGATTCTAGAATTTGCACGCGAAATTTTAAATCGAAGATAGTGAAATAGTTACATTGTTCTCGCATGATTCCATGTTTATTGAAACAATAGATAGTCAACAGACAAACAAGTGAATCGAGGGCAAATTCAAGAGAATGAGAGTTCAGTGAGAATTACACTCTAACGCTTGACGAGAAGAATGAGAAGAAGCCAACAAGAGAAGGCTTTCAATGTAAAACAGTGACGAGAGCGACTATACCACCTTAAAAAAGAATGAGAATTCACCAACGAGTATATGTAATCAACGAGTTGTAAAGAAATGGTTGTGAATTCAGAAAATATAACCAAAAACTCTAATTGTAAGCAAATGAAAGCATCTTACTGATTGTGAGACAAACCAAGTCATTTATTCCTGAAAATGAATTGAACCATTGATTTAATCTCGAATGAATATAGATTTCTTCAATATGTAGCTTTCAGGCACCCTTACCATCAACTGCTTATGACTTCTGGCAGATGATTTTGCAGAATGGTTGTTGTATAATCGTTATGTTATGCAATATTGAAGAAAATGGTAAACCAAAGGTCCCCTTTTCATTGTGTTTCTTCATTGTGAGTTGCTTGAAGTTATATTAGGAGTCTTAATTCAACCGCGGTACGATACATCTATAATACTCGGAATGACATAGAGAATTCTAGATATTGTTCTTAAACTGTTTCGATTTATACGAACCGTAAAAGGTAAGTAACTTGATAAGCTGGTCGACTATAAAGCCATTGTTACAAGTTAATTTTGTAGTGTTTTGAGTATTGGTCACGGGAACCTGGAACATCGGTGAAATTCGACAATATTACTGTGAAAACGGTCGTTGTTAGGAAGGTTGTTCATTAATTTTTTGATTGTTTGCTTATTCTCAGTATAGGATTCACGTTTATCAAGTGCTGTTCGGAACCTCAGTAACACTAGCAGCAATCTTTATCCAGTAAAATGTAATGAGGAAAATTTTCAGCTGAAGCTACATCCGGAATGCTCGGGGACAGTGACGATACAAATCTCTGGATTAGCGATAATGGTCGATGATGTGTTCTATCATGCCGTTGATCACTTCCAATGGCTGAATTGGCCTGATCGAAAAGTGCCACCAGCCGATCTCACACCGATTTCTCTACTTAATTATATACGAAAATCCAAGTTTGTTAACTATTTCTGTTACCGACTAATTGATTAGTTTGATTCTGTATGATAATAATATCAACAACAAGAATGATAGTGATCAATACATAACACCGTGATGATGCATTTGGTACAGTAGCTCTTAAAGAATAATGTCGTATTCAAAAGGATAATAAGGCAGCATAATAAGGCAGTCGGCAACAATAACACGAATTTAACAGAACAGTTAGATGCAGTTCATTTGACACTGTTTGAATCATTCTTTCGTTTGATTCTCTCAGTCTGAGTTAAATCTTGAACATTCATCAGAATTTTTTCATTTGGTGCAAAACATCCTTCCCTATCACTCAGCACTGTTGATTGAAGATTTTATGGTTGAATTAATGATGTCGAAATGCCTCGCTCAACCGATTATGAAACTGCTGCAGGACACCGATCGTAGTGCATTGTACAGCTGGTATCGGACGCACTGGAACACTGATCATGATGGCCTATATACTGGAGACATTGGTGACTGGCCAGAAACCTGAAAGTTCAAATGAGATACTGAAACGTTTACGATCTGAACGTGCTTATCTTTTGCAGGTTCGCATCATTTTTCCAGTGTCGACTAGCTTCATTAAACATTATGAACTGAGTTCATAATGTTTAAAGAAGTTGATTTTTAATCGTCAACACTTCAAATCTACCTCAAATAGATTCACTTATCAAGTTTTCGGGTGAAAGTGTGATGATATGCTTAAAAATAGTTATGATAACGATAAGATCGGTGGAAATTTTAGAGTGATGCACAATATCTATACGTTCATCGAGTGTTATTGGAATACTTCGCTCTAAAAGGGTTGATCAGTGATTATATGGCTGATCGAGTGACGAATTTTATTGAAGATTATGAAGCTGCGATCAACTAATCATCATTTTTTGAATGAAATTTCAAAATAATTGTTTTAGATAATGTATGCTTTCAGTCAAACGCAATTTTCTGTTATGGAGGTATTTACATGGTATTCTATATTGATATAAGTTGCCGAATCGGGGAGATCAAACGAAACTGTTATGTTAAAAATAAGGAGGCTTATTATGAATGCATAAGTATGGTCATCAATAATTCATATGCAACCTTGTTAAAAATTGTATTGAACAAAGCTATCATATCCATATTCAAATCTCTGTGTTATATGTAAATCGAAATGTTACTGCATAAACTTTTTTAAATGGAGCTAATCGGACTATATTTATTCATTAGAGATACATATGGCTGTTGTTGAACAGACAATTTCATTATCAGTGAATGATAGCAGTTTCATGCGTATCAACATTCAAGTATCTATTTGCTGCATAAGCAAAAGCAACAGAGGAGAAATAATTTTGGACAATTTTTTGCAACGTTTCGCAATGTTTCGAATACAATCTCTGCTGATTTCACTTTAAATCATGCCAACAGCCAATGAGCTGAACAGAATGGCACCATATCAACTATAATTTTCAGCTTAACGCTCACAGCACTTCTCGAAAAGATATCGATCATCTGTTGTTAAATGTCTTGGAATTTTAAAAGGATGAAAAATCTAAAAGAACAAAACTCGCGTCATTTATTGCACCAGTGTCGTGAAATTATCATAAACCTGCAAATTTAAGAAAACGAAAATTTTTTATTCATAAAGATGAATGTTTCTGGATTCATAAGTTTTGTTCATTAGCTTTGCACCGGTACATCGTCATTGTCTCCACTGAAAGCCATAAGTCGGTTGATTGTGATTTCGTTTCAGTTTCATAAATTGTTTTTGATTTGCTTCGCTGAGCGTGTTGCTGGTGGATATATATCGAAGACGAGTCGAAATTTCAGACTTTTTTAGGCCAACCTCGTTTGGATATATAATAGGAGAGCTGCAGTTCCGTTTCTGGATTGTAAGTGAATGTTTCGATTAGCTAAATGAGAAGGAATAACTAGTCGATATGATGAAATCAGGCCAAATCCTCCACTGGATTCAGAAAAGAGTGTGATCATTGCAACATCTTCCGAGATCAATTCTTCATTTCAGTGTTTTCATTTGAATAAACTTCTTGTCTTTCTTCTCGGCATTAATATCATCAACCTTATAAATCGTCCTTTCCAGAAACGACAGCAAGGAGGCGCCACGATACGCATCCATTCGATCGTCAACAAATAAGACAAGATGAAATTCCAAGCGTATGAAACATTCGAAACACCCCAACACGATACGCAAAGCGAATTCATGATAATGCTCGTTTCGGCAGTATTAATTTCACTGCTGTCATTTATTGCTCTCCTCTTGAATGCAATAACGTTTGCGTTCTTCACTCTTAAAGTTGGTTTAGTGCAAATTCTCACCGATTCTTTTGCTTGTTCTAAGAAAGTTCCAATCGATGTGATCATCGAGTTGCAATCGGAGTGCCACACGGAACCACTTTACTTTCCTTCAGAAATCTTGAGACTTCGCAAATCGATCAGCTTGTGAGCAGATCAAATCATTGATGGGTGGATGATTATAGATATATCTGCTGGCAGAGTGAAATTCTACAGAGGCAGAAACAGTTCAGAATAGCAATTTCTGGAGTTTACCGACTCATCTCTAGAGGCGAATATTCCATTTAAGTTCATTTAAATTGTGCTGTTCATTAGGTGACGGTCATTGTCAGAAATGCGATTGCCATAATCGGTATGAAGTGTGTTCATGAAACTACGTTCAGATATCACGAAGTATGGTATCGTTTAAAGAGAAGAATGAATTCGCCGAACGCCTGCTATCGTACAGGCGGTTTTCGGAGGATTTGATCGGTAAATTGAGTAGTTTGGCGAATTTTGATGCCACTGAAAATGAGAAAGAAACATCAACGATGCTCGGCACAACTTAAACTAGAAGTCAGTTTTTCGGAATTATTCATAGTTGTGTTATTACTGCTAACGAAAAAACTAAACAAAGTCGCATTAATTTCTGATATTCTTCATTGCATGACAATATCGTTGTGTTACGCATGATGTTCTTGATGTCAGATTTCCAAAGCTAACAGATTGCGGTCGACATGCGATTTGCGACTTGTCAAATTTGATTTGCGATTTTTTCGATTGTCTATCCTCGGGTTTTTCTCACTTCTTATCGTTCAATCCCTTGACAACTGATATATACATTCAAATTCATGAGCTGATAGTTCGTCAATGAGGATTTTCCCAACATATTGGTTGGATTTGCGTTGCAGTTAATCACGTACCCATGCCAGAATAAAGAAAACAGAAGATTTTATTCTGAAATTTTGCAGATCAATCGAGAATTGCAAAAGAGCAATAACAAACAATGCCGGAATTGCTCAAAAAATTTTCCGTTTCACATTAGTAATGATAATACATTTGTAATCTATCATATAAATCTTTGAACAATCACTGTTAATGCGCGATTACAATAAATTCAACAAATTGATATACATTTATGGATGAATAAATAAATAGTCTGATTTATATCTAGAAACAAACAATGCTAACTATCATCATAATGATTACTGAATGAAAAAAAAACGAATAAAGTTCAAGAAAAAATGGAAGAAATCAACTCGTAGACTTATGTGAGAAAATACTGAACTGGAAATATACATACAAATATATCACGCTGATAATGATCATAAACAGTGATAATAAAAGCACCATAAAATTATAATTATACAGAATCTTCGTATTCGTTATCAACACAATATGACGACCAAATAAGCTCGCCTTTGATCGTACAGAATCAACAAAGTTTTGAACCGAGATACCTGGATATACATGCACTGAAATCACATATAAGTCAGTCAGTAATTATGCTTGTAACAAAGTTAATTCATGCAAAGTCGATGATGGAAGGATTATTATA